TACCATGTACAACCCGAAAGCCAAGCACTCCTGCTCTGTCGTCGGATGCACGGATACTCATGTTTCCCTACATCGCCTCCCTGCCAAAGAGGATATCAGAGCGAAGTGGCTAAATTTTATTTTTCAGGGAAATGTCCCAGCTTCAGTGAGCAAAAGCGTTTTTGTCTGTGCCAGTCACTTCACGCCGGACTGTTTCAGCAACGAGGGTCAGTATAAGGCTGGACTGGCAACGAGATTGTTCCTAAAAGATAATCGTCACCAGCGCGCAATGCATGTTTGGATGGGCTGGGCCATAATGGATTCATCTGTTGCATCCTCCAAATTCTGGGAAAGAAAGCTGTACTTCTCAACCGAATATGAAGGAGCCTTCAAATTGGGACAGCCTTGATCGCAGCCCTCAAAGGCTATAACCCCTAAATTGAGACACAGCTAATGGGATGGACAGACAGATGGACGACGAGATTATCAACCCAGTCTCACTCCAAAGTCATCAAAATCAGGCAATTGGTCTGGGACTTCCAGCGTCAGACACAGATGAAAAAAATGACTTTCAGCTGGGAGGTTGGTGTTCACTCCCAGTAAGATTGTAGCCAAGTCAAACACTGTTCCTTTTTCTTGAACCTAACCACGTGCTTTTGTTGTTGAAGAAAAAAAAGTCAATTTGCAGTGTTGTACCGATGTAGTGCGTTATTGAAAGACACTGTATACAAACTATAACTTTCCTGTGAAAATGGAAGTGTATTTTGAAATAAGACAATGCATGTAACAGGCAAAACTTGAAACGTGTCCCACAACATCAACAACTAACACACAAGGTACCTTGCATGTTATATCTGGACGTGGACAGTCCATGACCAAACATTGATATGTGACGAGGTCGGAGTGAGAATGTGTTGGGAAAACAAAATGCTTCAGGCCATGACTATTGGCGCAGAGTCATAATAAAAGGTAATATTTGATCTAATTGATGACATTGTGAGTTATCATAAAGTATTATAAGCAGACAAACAGACATAAAGACAGTGTTACCAAATCCAGTGGTCTGCAGGTCAAAGAAAACGATGGTTTCATTAGGAGACATCTGCAAGAATTTAAAGAGAGACATTTGAACATGAACTGATACACCCCAAAACACTTAGATCACACCCCAGGATGTTTTGTGCCCCTATTTAACAACATATGACCAAAAAATGACAATAAAAAAAAACATGACGTGTGCTTACATAAATTTGTACCAACGAATTATTCTATAACATCCACCCATCAATTAATCTGCAACTTCTGGCCGCACAGAGCTAGGATTGAGATACCTAGCTAGCAACAGCACGGTGCGCCAGAGTATGACCAGCCTTTTTGTTGATATCAGCACTTTGCTTGTTGAATCGTCAAAATTCCAAGCCGACATATCAAATGAAATTTTGACTAGTAGCAATTCTATTCAGAGATATCTACAATTCACTAGTCCAAATGTTGAATCTTGATAATAATAATTTGTTACTTGTGGAAATGTTTATTGTAAATATCTATAACTTGGTTGCTTTCACACCTGCCCTGTTTGGTTTGGTTCAATTGAAGTTTTTTTGCCTCCTAAGTGCGGTCCATTTGGGCAGGTGTGAACACAACAATCACACTCAGGTGCACACCAAAACAACCAGATGGGACCTTCTTGAAGAGGTGGTCTCAGTCCGGTTACAAACGAACTCTGGTGCGGTTCGTGCACCAGAGTTTGTGGTGAGAACGTGTTCCGACCTGGATCTGAACCAACTGCAGTCACATGACACATTGTTTGGGTTAAACATGAGCAGGTTACAGTCCTGGAGGATTGTTAATGTTGGACATATTGAAAATGCAACTGTTGATATTTCAAATTGGGACATTTCCACTGGTCAAAGTCCTTCAACATGTGGAAATTCAGTTGGATCTGTAAGCCTTATTCTTACTACTGAAAATGGAATAACCAATATGTTTAATTAAATTAAAGATATCTATTAATCAGTTTTGAGTAGTCAAAATGTAATTTCTACATATTAAAATATATTTTGTGTCTTTTTTTTTCTTACCGATGTATTAAGTTAAGATTTTACAGGGTGTCTACAGGTATCAGACAGTCAAATGTAATGCTTTGTAAAACCAGATTATCCAGATTTAGGACAGATTTTTGGACAAATCATATTTTGCTTATTTAAGATTTGCAGGTAAACATTGCATGCAGGTAGTATATATGTGCTCTTGTGCAGAGGAAATTGTTATGTAGGAATATGGTTATTAGAATGAGTTAAGTCGATTCACATTTAGTGAATTTAAGTATGAAGTAAAATGACAGTATTATAGTTTGTTAGAAATGTGGATTTTTACATAGAAAGGCTTCACAAATTCAAATTTAAGACATTTTAATGACTTTTAAGAAGGGATGAGTGAGTACACCATTACCTGTATCTGAATCTGTTCAACCAACTAAATCATACTGTATCCACACTAGGAGGGGCGTGGCTTGAACAGGAAGTGGGTGTGGTTTAAACCGGACATTTTTATTTTTAGCCTGAAATTCATATGGTTTGATCAGAAGTTGCTGTATTTATGATTTATTGGAAAGCTATTTACAGAACAGCCTCAGAACTGGATCATTGAAGAAGAAGAAAAATATTGTAACTATTTTTTAACAACTTTTTTTTAATTAAAGTTGTAATTTAACAGCTTCAGCTTTTGCTTGTGAGATGTTTTTCTACACAATAAAACACAATGTTTATTAATTACTATATGTGTGTGTGTGTGTGTGTGTGTGTGTGTGTGTGTGAGAGTGCAGTCACACACGGGGGCTATGTAACAATACATACTCAACAACTCAATACATCCTAATATTTAAAGGCTTTACGAAATAAAATTACAAATAAATTTGTAATATTTAGTATATCTTTTTATCAGTTAAAGAAAAAAGCATCAGGTCAGCAATATTAAATAAATAAAAATAATTAATGCATTTTGCGACCATTTTTGGAATCAGTGCAAGTATATTTTATAACTACTAACTCATATGCGACCTGCAAATTTGCGGGCGTTTTTTGTTTTTGTTTTTAGTTAACCGCAAAGATCACGTCATCTACACTCATCAGTAGGCTCGTTGGAGATGAACTACGCCTCATCCGGAAAGTGGACGAGAGCAGGCGGCTGCAGCAGGAGGCGGTGACAACAAGCTGTGGTTAAAGCGGCGTTCATAAGGTTGGAGGTTCCAAAGTCCCGACCATTAACTCGGGGGAAAAGTGCTTTGAACACGTGGTTGGAGTGGAATTTTTCGCTCGGAACGTCGTGCGGAAGTGTAGCAACCTGAGGACCCCGAGTTGACGTGCCATGATGTTACAGCAATGGCGGCCCCTGTTACGTGCCGTGTTGTGTTGGGTGTTGTTTTGTGTTTTCTCTCGTTCTCTCTCACGCCAGGTACCGCCCCCCCTCCTCCCTCCGCTGATTACCGCAGCTGTGGCCTATCACAGCTGTGTGATTAAAACCACCCTGGAAAACTGGAGCCGGTGGCTAGTGGGCCTTTCTGGCAGTGTGCAGTGCAGGCCGTAGCTGTGTGCGTGGTGGTGTGCGCTCGGTTGTTTAGTGACCCAGTCCCAGTGTTTATTCTTCTGCCTTTGTTATTGATTATTGATTATCTGTTATATCATTCTTGTTGCTAGTCGGCTCCCCTTATTTGGGAGCTTCTTTTGTGTTTTGCAATCGTAAATAAATCACTGCCTTGCAGTCGCTTTAGTTTACTCCTGTGTTCTTCATTATTGGTTATTGGTTATTTGTGTTAATTGTTACCTCCCCTCCCCTAGGCCTTTAAGGGTTCGTAACAGCCTCCTTCGCTACCGTTGAGTCAAATAATTTTTCTTAGGTAAAAAAATGCATCTCAAAGACGTCTTTAAGCAAATTCTCCACTGCTACACGTAATTTGAACATGTTTGTTAACGTCCAAGGTCCAATGTGAGGCGATGAACACACTTTTTCTGGAAGTAGGGGCTTTTCCGGGCATTTCACGTCAGGTCCTTGGAAACCTCCGAGCCCTCTGAACGAAGCTTAAGTCGGAGACTGAATCCAAATGTCCACCCTCTGGACCTGCAGACTGAGCCTTCGCAGACTTCAGTTGTACGTAGTGTGACGTATTTACGGTCATCACGTAAAGTCTGCGAGGGCAGAGACTGCAAGTGGCTGATAGACAGCCCTCGAGACTGTTTTACTAGTTGCTGTGGAAACGTTCAACTATCGCTGTTGTCATATTCATATAAATGTCATATAAGTTGATGAACAGTGCTGACTCATCTGTTCCTGAAGATACCAAAAGATAAATCCCATGTACAGCCTTTTTGTGACTGAACAAAAATGTGTTAATACATCTCTATATAACAAACTACAGCGTTCAAAAACAGAAGTGTTTGTAATAAGGACTCTGACTCAATAAACTGGGTATTACTGACATACATTACAATCATTCAAATATTATCAGACTCACATCAGTTTGTTTTCAGTCTCCAATTGTTTTAATTATGATAGATTAATTTATTAAAATGCTTTACAGGCCTTCTGTGATTTCTGTTCACGGTTCAACCTCCATTTGACATGAGTTCTCATGTAAATCAGCATCATATCAGTCTGCTGTCCCCTCAACTACAGGGGCCAAATACACTGTGTCTGACTATAAGGTAAATATTTTCAGAGGAAAAAAATACAAGACAACAGCTTTGATTAAAGATCAGTCAGATATAGTCAGTGTCACAGTCTGCTTCTCTCCCTCACCTGCTCCTGGTAAATTCACATTCACCTACATCCTGCTAGCCAGCCATGCTCCCTGTCCCCATCAAGACAACTCCTCTCACCTGCCTCCACAGCATCAGCTCATCAGCCTGAAAGCCTCTCCAGCACACACACTCTTTGCCAGAGTGTTCTTTGACTCTATGCAAGACTTCCCAGCAGTCACCCTCAGCTTGGTTCTCTGGCACCGACCCTGTTTGTTCCTGACCTGTCTACGTTGTCTGTCTCCCGGTACACTCACCAGCCTTCTGTCCTCGACGACGACGAGTTTGAACTTCCCTGCTGCTCATCCCTCATCAGCTCTGCTTCACTGGACTGCTCCTCTGGTTCCCTCCCCTTCTCAAACTACTCCATCAGTAAGCCCCTCTGTATTACGTCTGCCAGCTACCCAACTGAACTGCTCAGCTCGGTCTACTCTCTGGCCCCTGTGTCTGGAGACTGCATGTGGGCTCAGAGCCCTGAAGAATGAATATCGTCATCACTTCAAGTTTCTGGTAAATCTGTGTTAAAATACAGCTGGCTGGGACACATGAGCTACCCAGTACACATTTTGATGACACCAACATGTTGCACTCGGGTGATACATGTGCTTGTTAAAAGTACATTACCCGGCTCATCCCTAATTTTAAGGCTTATTGTTGTAACGCTGAATTTAAGACTTTTAAGGACCTGTGGACAGCCTGATTTTAACATTTCAACAAGGCTGAAACATAGAGACAACCATTCACGCCCATGCTCACACCTAAAAGTTACCTACTACATCTTTGTATGTCATAGATTCATTGACTCATGTCTCCATTTCCCTCTAAACCCGCCCTGTTTAACTGTGCACTGCTGAAATATTCCATCTTTACTGGGAAACACCTCAAAGTCCAGAAGCTGAAGACACTTAACTTTAGTTTCACTGAGTCTCTGGGGATATACTCTGCAGGGTTTCCATACTGGTCTATCTGATCCCCCTCAGTTGTTGTGACCCACCGTTATGTCCCCCCCCCCCCCCCCCCCCCCCCCCCCCCCCCCCCCCCCCCCCCCCCCCCCCCCCCCCCCCCCCACATACCCACACACACACACTGCTCTCTGCCTGTAGTCACTGTTTTCTTGAGCAACAGGCATTAACAGACACAACCCCCAAAAGCACACGGACACATACCGAGGCAAAACACCAAACGGGAGTGAACGGGGCTGGTCTTTACTTTCAGTTTTCAAACAGTAACAATCCTAAAGAGTGTAACTTGGAAGTTAAGTGAATTTAAACTCACTGATAATAATAATAATAATAATAAAGTCTGAACTCACCGTGGCCAGTGTGATGTGCAGTCAGCTGAGGTGTGTCACAGTCAGCACAGATGAACGACGGATGATTGACAGATGAGGCGGCAGCAGCAGCAGGGGGCGGTGACCGGTTCATAGACAATGATGTCAACAGTCAACTGTTGCTGGGTTTTGGCTGATGGTTGACGCACAGAGGGGTTTTTGGTGCCTGGAAATGCAAATCTTTGAAAACGGGCTATAGAGTGCAATTTCTTGGGAAACAGCACCGTCTCCGTTGTGATGTAAACTGGTAGCAGGCCTAAAATAAAGTTCCTCTGAAAACGGAAACTTTTCGCACATGCGCATTACCATTCCAGTCAATAGACATGCGCGAGAAATAATAATAAAATTATTCTTATTAATAATGATAATAATAATAATAATAATAAATAAGTGCTTTACAATAAGGGCATTATAAGAACTGAGTGCTTTACATTAAAATAGATTTAATGGACATACAACAAATTATTTATAAAATCATAAAACCATAAATCATAAAATCCAACACATTCTCACTCTGATCTTGTCACATGTTGACATTTGGTCATGCAAGGTACCCTGGGTGCGTTGGTTGTTGACGTTCTGGGACACCATGTCAAGTTCTCTTCTTTCAAGATACACAGGAAATTTAACGTTTACATACATGCTGAGTTTACACATAGGCGGGTATTTTTAAAAAATGTCCCCCTCTCTGTTTTCAAAAATAACATTGTGCACACCTGGCCGTTTTTAGTAAAACTTTTCATTTACATGGACCCACATAAATACGGATATTCAGAGAGAGACAGCAGCGATGACGGTGACATCCTGAAATTCTCATGCCACTCCTCAGATAGAACAACGCCATTTACGAAGTTTTCCCACCAGACAGCGGTTCGCCCAGGTTGGACCCAAAACCTACAGCGGCAGCACCGTTGGCTGGCATTAACCCTTCCTGTTGGTGGGAGAAGTTGTTGCTAAACTGCTGACCTCGCAGCTCTCATTCTTCACTGCTCCTCCATATAATAGAGCAGTTGTGTTTGCAAATGCAAACAGGCAAAAAGCTTTTGCACTGTCATAAATGCGAGCACTACTGTAATAGCATCCATAATCACTGTAGGCTAACGAAATGTAAACAAAGGGACTCCTCTGTGTACATGCAAACATGAAAACAATGTTTTCCCCAAGAAAAACACTCTGGCCAGAGATTTTTTTTAAATATTCGTTTTGGTGAGTAAAACCCCTGGTTTCGTGTATATGACAGGCCCAAAGGCAGGAAAATATTGCCGTTTTCCCGGCTCTGTGTAAACGGGGCAACAGTCTCTTTGACAATAAACGCACCACATTGATACAACACTGTGAATTGCCTTTTTTTCCTTCAACAACAAACACACATGTTAGGTTTAGGCAACAAAAACACGTTGGGTTTGGGAAAAAAGAACAGGGTTTGGCTCAAGAATCTTACGGTACTCAAACACCTTTCTCTCGAATGAAAGTCGGTCTTTGTTGGACCCATCCACTTTCACCATTTTAACTTTCATCCTTGTCCCGTCACGTTTCCCCCTGATGCCACCAGGCACCGTTAAACTACAACTGCAACCGGCCGTGTATCATGTCAATGTTAAAGGATGCCTTTTTTCGTCATTGTCTAACACCGCAAGTCGACGACTTTGGAGTGACCAGGCTCTGAAATCAAGTAAGATTTTAAAAGAGTTGCAACAGCATGAAGCGTAAATAGAAAGTAAAAGCATAAAAAGAGAATTTCAGACTTGTATCAGGAAGTCAGAGCTAACAATAGTTAACAAGGGAGTTAGCAACATAGCTCGGTCCCAGCACATGTAGGGCCCAGCCCAAAAAGCTGCCTCCAGCTGCTACAACAGTGGGTGCGGTTACATGATGGCTTCTCATTCGGAATGAAATAAATCTGAATGAAATCATTCGGAATTAAAGTTTTTCCAGGTAGTTTACATGGGAAATATTCATTCAGAATGAGGGTTTACACGGGAGATCAGTTTAATCGCCTTTATTCGGGTCTGCGCAAGGTTTGGGGCAGGGAAGGTTTCTGATTGGATAGGGGGCGGGGCGGATGTTAAGTGTTTACGTTTACCTGAAGAAAACACTGTAGTCCTTGTTCCAGATAAAAAGATGCTTGATGACGACGTTCTTAGTGCCTTTTTCAGACTTGTTTTGCTTATATTCTTGAAGCAGCAGTACGACAACAACCTTGTTCTGCTAGTGCTTCATCTGTTGAGGAGGAGAAGAGAGGTAGAAGGTCGAAGAAGGGAGATAGAAGACCGTGCTTTGGCGAATGGAAACCGGTGAGTGCAATGAGTCGCGCACACGCTATATATGTCATATGCGCCAGAAGGGCAAGGAAACGAGCATGCACAGAAAGACCGGAATGAACTTTCATACCGAATGAAAAGGGAATTAAACTGTCCATGTGAACGCACTCACTTTCTGTGTGATCGGGGCCTAAGACTGGCCTGATGTGCTCTCTCCTCTTGGTTCTGGTTAACAACTGATCTGCAGAGTTTTGAATGAGCTGAAGCCTCTCAGTGGTGTTTTTGGTAGGCCAGTAAAAAGTGTGTCACAGTAGTCAAAGTCCGCTTGAAATAAGGCATGAATCAATTCCTTGGCATTTTTCCTTGTAGAAGTGGTCGCATCTTAGCGATGTTTCTGAGGTGGAAAAATGATGTTTTTGTGTGGGACTTGAAGCTTAGATCTAAATCAAGGATCACAAAGACTTGTAACCTCAGACCAATGAAATGTAATTTTTTAAATATACGAATTAAAAACAAGTTGTAAAAAATTATGTGACAGTCTGAGGCGAGGCTTAAACCTAAACATACAAAAAAAGTGGCTGTGTAAGTTAAGAAGTATTAGTAAGGGGGGAGGGCTGCTGTGTACCAAGCTGGGAGAAATTTTAGGGGAACACCCACTAAATATAGCCAATGCAAAAAAAGGAAAGTGAGATAAAACACATGCACACACAGAGACATGCAAAACTAAAGTGCATTCAACACCATCCAGCCGTTGCTACTGAGGAAGAAGCTGCAGACGATGAGGGTCGACACATCCGTAATTTCCTGGATTACTGACTACCTGACAGACAGACCACAGTTTGTCTGACTGGGCAGTGTCCTGTCTGACATGGTGGTGAGTAGCACAGGAGCTCCACAGGGGACTGTTCTGTCTCCTTTCCTTTTCACCTTGTACACCACAGACTTTCAGTATGACTCTGGGTCATGCCCCTGCAGAAGTTCTCTGGCGACTCTGCAGTGGTTGGGTGTGTAAGTGATGGACAGGAGGAGAAGTACAGAGCCCTGGTGGATGATTTTGTGGAGTGGGCTGGAAGAAATCACCTGTTGCTGAACGTGGCCAAGACCAGGGAGATGGTGATTGACTTCAGAAGGAAGAGGGCGGCTTCTCAACCCCTGTGCATACGGGGAGAGGACATCATCATGGTCGAGGATTACAAACACCTTGGCATCCACGCAGACAACAGACTGAACTGGACGCTGTGTACAAGAAGGGGATGAGCAGACTATTTCCTGAGGAAGCTGAGATCTTTCAATGTGTGCAGCAAGATGTTGGGAGTTCTTCTACCAGTCTGTTGTAGCCAGTGCACTTTATTTTTCTGTAGTCTGTTGGGGAAGCAGCATCGGAGCCGGTGAGACCGACAGACTTCAGAAACTCATTAAGAAGGCTGGCTCCGGGATTGGCTGCAAACTGGACTCATTTGAAGCAGCGGTGGTAAGGAGGACACTGAACTGTTATCCATCATGGATAATCCTGACGACCCTCTTCACCTCATACTGGACAGACAGCAGAGCTCTTTCTCCAACAGACTGTTCTCAAGGACAGATACAGGAAATCATTCCTCCCCCGAGCCATAGCGCTATTTAATACCTCACCTCTGTCTGACAGAGAGCGCTCACAGCTCTCTATAGCTTAATAGTTACATTACAACCACTTCTTTGCACTGCTGGTATTAACCAATTGCACACTTGTAGCTATTTTGCACATTTTTACAACCTCTACTTCACTTCTGAGTCTGTTGTGTATATAGTGTGGTGGCAAAACAACTTTGGTCTATTTAATGAACAGTTTAAAGAAAAAAGTCTTCACACGTCGGCTGTCTTTCTTGAGTTTTAATAAGCATTCATGAATGGAGTCACACACATTGTGAGTGAGTGAGTGCCTAGATGTTCTTCAGCTATGCTATCTCTATAGTTCCCAAAACACATGCATGTCAATAGTCAAAATATATGGCACGCAGGTGGTTCTGCAGTAAGCATCCCTAAGACACAACATCTCTTGAGGCTCACCAGGACACTTGATGTTGCAGCCTCCCTGGCTCGTAACCTTTAACCTACTTTTATTAGGCCTCTGCTGTGTCTCACACTGCTGTCACAGTAGGGGTTAAATGAGCAACACATATCATAGGTGAGAAGTTCAGTTTCATTAAAACAAACAACCTTAGAACATGGGTATACAACACATGCAGAACACATTATAGGTTAAATATGGTTAAATACCAGAAGTTTTCCATCACAATAGTTTGATCTTTTTACTCCTACAATTTGATATTCTTTATTTTTATTTTATTCCTGTCTATTTCTTGTACATTTTAAATCTTATTACTACTCACTTTGTATGTATTTTATATTTCAATATTCTAATGTCCACATACTGTTTGATGGCTTGCTGCTGTAAAGTAAGAATTTCCCAGTATGGGATCAGTGAAGTACTATCTTATCTTATCTTATAAAGTGCAAAGTGAAAACACAGCAAACCGTGCAAGAGGAGTGGATATGTAGGGAGCTAGGCCCCAGCCCTCCCCTCCTCAGCCAGGAGTTCAGCCTAAAAGCAAAGACAAAAATGCATTAAAATTGGCAGGTGGTTGATTGCACTGCTTCCTTTACTGCTAATATAACCTTTTACAAACTATCACATAAATAAGTACATTAAAAAATAACCCCTATGCAAAGCAGCAGTAACACTGCAAAAAACACTAAGGGAGAAAAACACAGTTAACTAAATTAAAGGAG